ATGGTGCAATCAGTGAGGGGACAAGTCCTGCTTGCACCACCGGTGGTCACGTGGCACACGTGCAAATCTGGGCACCTCCGTTGCGGAGATATTTTATAGTGAAATATTCAAATGTACATAACTTTTTCAGTTTAAGTCCGATTGGGCTAGAATTTCGTGGGTGGATGAATTGTTAAGCGACATAAACGAATGCGCCACGTTTGTTGCAGTGCGCCACGTTTGTCTCAAAGCGCCATTTTTTGCCGCAAAGCGCAGAATGTGCGTAACTTTGTCGAACATTGGACGATTAGGATGCGCTGTAATTAAAGGATGGCTGCTTAAACGGCAGATATGAATGCACCACATTTGCCGCAGGGCGCCATATTTGTCTTAATGCGTCAGTGTTTGCGTTTTGCCTACGGCGGGCGTTTTTTGCGGCGGCGTTTGCGTTTTTTTTTTCGGGGTTTGCGTTTGACGGCGGGCGGCCGTTTTTGCGTTTTTGGCGGTGTTTGCGTTTGGCGGCGGGCGGCCGTTTTTTTGCGGCGTTTTGCGGTTGGCGGCGGACGTGCGTGCGTTGCGGGCGTTTTTTTTGCGGCGGTGTTTGCGTTTTTTTGCGGTTTTTGTGTTTGGCGGCGGGCGGGCGGGCGATGCGGGTGTTTTTGCTGTTTGTGTTTGGCGGCGGGCGGCCGTTTTAGCGGCGGTTTGCGGCGGGCGGCCGTTTTTTGCGGCGTTTTGCGGTTTGCGGCGGGCGGCCGTTTTTTGCGGCGTTTTGCGGTTTGCGGCGGGCGGCCGTTTTTTACGGCGTTTTGAGGTTGCCGGCGGCCGGCCGTTATTTGCGGTTAGCGGCGGGCGGCGGGCGGTCGTTTTTTTGCGGCGTTTTGCGGTTCGCGGCGTGCGGCCGTTTTTTGCGGCGTTTCGCGGTTGGCGGCGGGCGATGCGGGCGTTTTTTTGCGGCGGCGTTGTTTGCGTTTTTTGCGGTGTTTGCGTTTTGCGGCGGACGGGCGGTGTTTGGCGGCGTTTTTTTTGCGTTTTTTCTGCGGTTTTCGGCGCGCGGGCGATTGTTTTTTTGCGAAGTTTGCGTTGGCGTTTTGGGCGTGCGTTTTGCGCGTTTTGCGGTTTTGCGGCGGGCGGGCGGTTTTTCACAATTAAAGTCCCAACCTTCGGATCCGCAGTGCTGTTCGACAAGCGCTGCCCGGGCCTATCAGCTGATTTCTGAAGTCACAGTGATATTAGCTGTCATGTGACACAAGCGACATGAGATGCTTCATGATGCCGGACATAACAGCTGCGCGGTGATGTTGAGCATATCAGTGCTATGATGTCGGCTACATAAGCTTCTCCGACGTCAGTTATTTCAGTTTATCGGTAAAGTAGGCTTATCGGTAAATTTAGCTTGTTACGTAACGTCAAAAATATCAGCTGTTCTTCACGTCAGCAATGTAAAAAATATGCGACGAGGGCGACACAACTGCACTGATGTCAAGCATGTAGCGTCGTCATTATCGGCTGGTCTCTGCCTTCTATTTTATTGGCTACTATGTGACGTCAGTTTTATCAATTGCCATGTGACGTCAGTTTTACCATCTGCCCCGTGACGTCGGCGGTGGCAGCTCGGTCACGGTCTGGCCGGCGCCCGGCACCACTCCCGTGTTCTATTGATCGCCGAGGGACGCACCGCGCGTCTGGTGGCCCGTGTCAAAGGATCAGTCCGCCGTGGCACCGGACGAGTCCCCCCCCCCCTCCGGCAGATGAATGGGGGGAAGGGGGTATACGACCGACCCGGGGACACAATGTACCGCTCTGAGATAAAGTGTAGTCTATGATGAGGAAATTCTCAATAAACTTTTAATTAGATATTGGAGATGCTCGAGATACCTACTCAAGATGCCATGACTGAAATGGAAACACTAAATGCTGCTTATCAGAATAACAACGTTAGTTTACACGCTACCCGATTAGCTTTAGGTAGCTCGGGTCTCCTCTCGGCAATGAAGAATCTGTTTTATTTTGGCTACTTATTGCTATCTAAGTTTGAATCCTGTTTTTTTTTTTACATTTTCTGCTAGCTTGTTATTGACAGTGGCTTTGTGCATGCTTAACATTTGGCAACAATATTTTTATTGATCTACCAAGAAGAACAAGGTTATGGATAAATGATTGAATGATAAAAATGCATGACATTTGAGCAATTCTTAGGTCTGAAAGGCAAGAGGTCGAAGTGCGAGTTATTTCAGAACATGTATTATCCCTCTGCTGCCGCTGTGGGTGTGCCCTTGGGCTGGCTGAGCTGATTACCTTCTACCGCCACAATAGGTCAGCACCTCCCGACCGCGCCTACTAAGGGTATCGGTGTGTCGGCGATATCCACAGCGAGTGGCGCTCCATTCTCCGTGTTCTACCGCTGCTGAGTGGCGGCGGCCGACCACAGAGGCGCGCGGCCGCGCCTCCGACAGCCAACAGTCAGCAGACCGGCCGGGCCGGGAAATATGGCCGGCCGGCCATTGTGACGCGGATAATGGCCGTCACAATGGTCCCGCCGGCCCGGTAAAGCAGACATTTCGGTCATTTCGGCCGGCCGCATTGACCGATGCCGGTAATTATCTGGGTCTGCAGGCGGGGGGGGGGGGGCTCTTAGCATGAGGAGCGACTCTCTGCTCTCTCATGGCTACCCCTCACACCTCTGGCCTCGCCCGCAGTGATGCCTCATGTCAGCGTGCAGTGGCCTGCTTCGGCTGCGGCTCGCTCACATTTCCGCCAGTCATCTGCCATGTTTCAGGGTTTTGCCTACCAGCCGGGGTCCTGTCAGTCACAATTTTGACTGCCAGCCGTGTTATGCTCTCATAATTTCCAGCCATCGTTCGCTTCTTGTCAGCCTCCCGACCTCGGTCCGCTCGCTCAAAGCCTGCTTGTCGTGGTCCTGGTCCGCTCGCTCTTAGTTTTCCATGGCCTCGGTCCGCCCGCTCTCAGTTTTCCAGCCTTGGTCCGCTTGCTCTCAGTTTTCCAGCCTTGGTCCGCTCGCTGTCAGTTTTCCAGCCCTGGTTCTCTCGCTCTCAGTTTTCCAGCCTTGGTCCGCTCGCTCACAAATTTCCAACTCTGGTTCTCTCGCTCTCAGTTTTCCAGCCTTGGTCCACTCGCTCTCAGTTTTCCAGCCTTGGTTCACTCGCTCTCAAATTTCCAGCCGTGGCGGCGCATAACAGCAGCCGGTGGCTCCGCCCGACCGCCCTGTCCGCTCTAATCACCACTTCAGAGCGGCCCGATCAAACCCTCGGCAGCGACGGAGCCTTTCGCTCCGCGTCGACCTCCTCCCCCACCCCACACCAGCCCCTCCCGATAGCCAACCCGCCTGTTTCCAGACAAGACTTGACATCATACCGAGTCCGGCCTGACTTCACCAGACCGCAGCGGAAGAACTGACCACCTCATACCAGGCCAAAAGACATTCCAACAAATGTCAGCTCACCCACTCTGCGCACCACAGTCGACTCCATACCAAACTAAATACCATACCGGGCCTAATATCATACCAGACGCAGCCTCATGCCACCAGCGCGCCCGGGCCTGCACAGACCAGGCACCCGGGACGTGCCGTGTCGGCTTACCGACGAATGAATGAATGAATACTGAAGCGGCGGTGCTGGCCTGCCAGACGGCCAACCGGGAGACCTCCGCACCGCAGCGCCCGACGGGCCAAATCCCACGCGAACGATAGTTGCCGCCGCCTACCCCGAACCTACTGACCTGGCGAGCCGCTCCGACCCTGGCCAGCTCCCGGGGCGTCAGCCGGAACAAGGGTAAATCATAGCGAACATCATTTTTCATAACCAGGGCGGCTTTGTAAATCGGTTTTCCTGCACAAAAGCCGCGACCTGAATATAAAGATGCTCCGAGGGGCGGCGGCAGTGATGGATAGGTCCATTAGAGCGCAGCCTAAATACGTGTCAGCTCGACGAACCTCTCCTGGGAGGCACCACAGCGACGAACCGGCCTGACGTATGGCCCTGCCAGCCAGACGCATCTAAAACAATGACCGTCTACGAGCGATACTAAACAGGATGGCAGGAAGCCAGCCCGAAAAAGCCGCGGTGCAGGCACTGTAATCCATAAAAAATGCGTTCATCTACGATGTTTGACGACAGTCTCCTCTGGTATCATCAGTTCTACCGCCCTGAACGCATTACGGATAGTTTCATTTGATCAGAGCGCGCCGAAACGGCTGTATTTTCGCCGGTGGCCCGTCGCTGGTTGGACTTCTTGTCGTTATAAAGTCGTGGCCGGGTCCCGGGCGATACCAGCCGGTGGGATATCGGATCAAAACAAGGCCATTCTATAGGCCAATCTGTTCTGTCACTGGTAAAAAGCTCGCCGTCCCGGCCGCCTGTTGACGGAGATCCGGCGGCCGGGCGCGGCACGCCGAGATTGCCCATCAGGCGGAGGCAGCCATAGGCCGGCCGCCCGAACACAAGCCCCTGCTGCGGCCGCGGCTGATTGAAATTTAAAGCCCCGTACATCTCTGTCCTCAGAGCAGGGGACCAAGAGCAGCTGGGTCTTACCGCGAGCGAGGCGCGTCACGGCAAAGCCGAGCTTCGCCCATATCATTCAATTATAAATAGATGTCCCCGATATTTTCTTGGTTAAATAATATCTCAACAAATTTGGAGCGGCTTGGCCTCTAAATCGACTACATATACATATATGTTTATGATCACAAGGAACCGATTGATCTGCCACCGGTGCAGCGTAGACTAATCTACTGTTTCAATAGTTGGTCAACAGCAAGAAAGCAAACTTCTAACGAAGGTGTTCGATTCGATTCACTTTGTGGTTGCTGTTCACACGAACTTCCTAGAAACCAGGCTGCCAGCACTCGCAAAAACCGGAACATTTTTAACGAACACACATCAACCAATAAATGGCGGTTTGAAATAAGACAGCCATTTCATCTCCTCTAAATCTATAACCCTCTTCACAAAAACACACGACTCCATCTGACACGCAACCCTGTTCTTTTTTTTTGCCGACAGTGGTGCTGCAAAGCTACCGAGTGACGGCGACGGACGGCTCGGCCCCGCTGGGCCAGACCGCCGTGCTCACGTGCCACGTGCCCGACCACGTGCGCGCCACCGTGCGCGTGATCTCGTGGGGCGTCCAGGGCCGTGTCAACGTCTACCCTACTCTGCTCGGAGGTGAGTTGTGCAATGCATTGCTTGCACTACATATGCCTTCCTTTTTATTTGTACTTCACCTAAGCATTTTCTCAAACCCTGAACTACCCTGACATCCAAATCCCATGATTTGCTCGGGACTCCCAGCCCCCCGACTGGCGGTGTTAAGGTCACCTCTGCTCGGAGCTGCTGACACCGAGTCTGTCAGAGCAGCTACCTCCGGCCGTCTGTTCGGCGAAATTAGTGGATTTCAGTCAGCTGCCGCGGATTTGTACTCCTCAGAATTCCAGTCGTCTTCACAGATGGGATCATCATGCAGCTGTCGGTCCCGACGGACCATTACAGAGCTGCAGGAGTGGTTCGGCATTATACGACTGTTCGGTTTCTGTGGGACCTGTGACTGCTGTTCAGTGTGGGAAATGTGACTGTTCCGTGTTCACTATTTGTTTCTGTAGAATCTATAACTGTTGATCTTTGTGTGCCGTTTGCCTATGCAAGACTAAAGGCCTTGGGTCGCCGTTCAATGGTTGTCTGTTATATGTGGTCCGACATGTGATACAATTATCTCGGTGAGCTTTCATCTAACCTCGCTCTGTGAGCCGTTGTATGACTCAGTTTCTTGTGTCTTTTATGACCATCCGGTCCGCCGCTATAAGACTATCGGACATCGGTCTCTGGAAGGTCACTACCTATATAACTGCGGCCCTCCGCGAACTCTGACGGGGTTTTGATGTCGGCGCGCAGTCCGTTTAACGAGCAGTGGCGGCGGAATAGGGGGTGCAGGGGGTGCAGCTGCACCCCCATCGAAAGACATGGGGGTGCAAACATATCTTTTTGCACCCCCAAAATCCGTACAAGGGGCCCGTCGCACCATCCAATACATTTTCTCCTGAAAACCAGTGATCGGGAAACGAACACTGATGTGGAATCATCCGGGATGTCCAATTATGGTCAGGAGCGCCCCATGCTAGTCTTTGGGCCTTGGGGCCCCCACACCGGCTAGAAGTGTCCGAGCCGCGTTTGATGCTCCATGCGGCATCTGAGGGCCCCCATGACGACCTCTGTCCCCTGGGGCCCTACAACGGCCACTAAGAGCCCTCATGACGACCGCTGAGGGTCCCACAGAGACTCCAGGGCCCCAATGAGACTCCAGGGGCCACGTTGGCCTCTGAGGGCCCCTATGACGGCCTCTGAGGGCCCTTACGATGATCTATGAGGGCTCTCACGACAACCTCTGTCCCCTGGGGCCCTATAACGACCACTAAGGGCCCTCATGATGACCGCTGAGGGTCCCACAGGACTCCAGGGGCCCCGCGGCTCTGGCCTCTACGACGGTCTCTGAGAGGGCCCTCGTGACGGCCCTAGACCCAACTCAAGTCTGAGGGCCCATTTGGCTTCAGACGGCTCAGCGACGGCCTCTGAGGGCCCCAACACAACCAGGCTGCAGGGGATATGCTGGCATCTGAGGGCCCTGCAACGGTCTATTGAGGGCCCTAACGATGGCCTCTAGCGGTCTTACCAAGGCCTCTGAGAGCCCTGCAAAGGTATCTGAGGGCCCATGAAGACCCTCACTATGGCCAAGGACCTCGTGACGACCTCTGATGATCGTCTCGAATGCTTCTAAGGGTCCTCACAACTTCTGAGGGCACCAGGACGGTCCCTGAGTGGCTGAGGGCCCTGACGGCGACCTCTCTGGGTCCTTACGAATTCAGGGCTGCGGAGTCTGAGTCGGAGTCGGAGTCGGAGTCGGAGTCGGTCGGAGTCAACAGTTGTGACCGGAGTCGGAGTCGGAGTCGGAGTCGATTTTAGAAACCCGAGCCGGAGTCGGAGTCGGAGTCACCGAAAATCTGTCGACTCCGCAGCCCTGCTAGGTCTGCGGAGTCGGAGTCGGGAGTTGGAGTCGGTCGGAGTCGACAATTCTGCCCGCAGTCGGAGTCGGAGTCGGAGCTGGTTTTTGAAAGCCGGAGTCGGAGTCGGAGTCGGAGTCGTTGAAAATCCATCGACTCCGCAGCCCTGCTTACGATGGTCTCTAAGACCCAACGCAAGCTCCAAAGGCCCATGCTGGCGTCTGAGGGCCCCACGACGGCCTCTGAGGGCCTCGACGCAGGCAGGCTCCAGGGGCCATGCTGACCTCTGAGGGCCCTCTTGACGGCTTCTAGGGCCTAACGAAGGCTTCAAGGGCCAACGCTAGCCTCTGAAGAACCCTACGACGGCCTCGGAAGGTCTCAACTTCACGCAGGCAAGTGCCAGGAGACATGCTGGCCTCTGAGGGCCCCGCAGAGTTCAGATTCAGAGGACCCAACGACCTTTGTGGACCTTACGAAACTGCGAAAGTCTCCGAGAGCTCACGCAGGCCCCTGGAATTCCACACCGATTCTCAGGCCCCATGTCGGCTTGTTGAGGCACTTCATCTGCTCTTGACGCCCCGTCGCCGGCCTCTGAGATTCTCAATGTCGGAACTTATGGGGCCATGGGCCCTACACCGGCTTTTATGGCCCCTACATCGACTCTTGGGACTCATGACCCATGAAATGCGGGTTTAAGCGGCTTCTAAGAATCCCCATGCTGGTTCTAGACTAGCCGCCAGCCGAATATTTGGGCTCACACGCGAGCTCCTGGGACCCCGTGCATACCCCACGGGTCTACCTGTCTCTAAGACCCCACACATACTTTTGGGGCTCAGGGCTCAAACGCTTGCCCCTGAAGGCCCCACTGAGACCCCTTTCCTCTATTCAGTCCTCCATACCGGCTCAGTCTTTAGGCTAAACATCGGCTCCTGTGGCCTCCATCCCGGCTTTGGAGGGCCTCCATACAGGCTTTTTTGGGGTCCGATGCCGGTTTCTGAGAGCCCTCAAAAGGCTTTCGAGCCTATACTGCCTTCTGAAACCTTTCAGCAACTTTCAAGGGACCGACCCTGATCGGAGGGCTCATTCAGTCTGGGGAGTCATGTAGGTCTCTGGAGGAGTCTCTATGTGGTCGGCTTCTAACTTCTAAGGGGCTCCTAAGCACGGTCTTCTTTGGACGGTCTCGTAGGGCCCTCAATGGTCCACTGCGGATCCAGAAAAGTGGTTTGAGACGCTGCCGGTGGTGGCTAGACTAAAAGATTAGCCGATAACAAACTAGCTGCATTTGCTTCTTTATGCTTTCATTATTTGAGATAGGTAGATAGGTACACTGCAATTTCAAACCTTTTACAGAAGTTGTGTGTATGGGGATAGTTTTCCAGAATCTTCGGTTTACATAAATCAATAATAATCACTCAAAAAAAAAAAATGAAGGGGGGCCCAAAACTTCCAGAGGGGCCCCTTGAGAAAACCTTGCACCCCCATCCAAAATTACCTTCCGCCGCCACTGTTAACGAGGCGCTGATGAGCGGAACAGCGGCGGCGCCTGAGCTGTTTAACGGTGCAGATCGCATCAGCAGTCGGCCGTGCGATTCATCGGATTGGTGCGGCGAACCTACCAGGGAGGAGCGGCGGTCCATTAGCGGCCACCAGCCGGCGTTGGAACACTTTGAATGTGTGGGACTCCCCTGGCCCAGTGTCCCACACCGGCTAAAGATTAGGTTTCGTATCAGCGCTGGTTTCTGCGCGGGCCACGCGGTCCTATGATTCTCAGGATTCAAAATGTGTCCCGTGTGAACTATCTAACACGATGACCGGTGCGGACCCATGAGACATAGGATCCGCTGGTGATTTACCATTGAACATGGAGTCCGTACTGCGAATATTCAAATCTGCGATCATGAAGACTAAGTAGAGCATGTAAGGCAATTGTTGCGGATTGGTCAAATCACCCGTGCTTTTCTCAAGATGCGCAATACGCCTAATGTTTCTTGAGCTCACAATCCAATCTAACATTTAACGCCCGAGTACCTATGTACATAGTATCCACAATAAACGCCAAGTATATATATTACACGACATTAGTAGGGGTAACACCAACGCATATTTGGCTAATGTGTTGTTTAGTCAGAAATAACCCTGCGTAGTTCAGCATATTCATGCAGCTGATATGACAGCCGATCCCATAAAGTCAGCCGTTTCCATCCGTTTCCTTCCGGCGTGTTTCCTCTGAGCCTTTGCTGCGTTCGGCGCCCCGTCGTGCGGATTTGGGATCTGATAGAGCCGGCGACTTTATATTCAATCTGCCAGGCCCGGCTTACCAAACAAGTTTATTTCCTCTGCAGCGTATCTCATGAATAATTTTCGCGATATATGTGACCCTGGCTCCATTTCGGAGTCACTGAAGCAGTTTTCCTTGGTGTTGCTTTGAAAATATTTGTTGCGAGGATTCAGGTTATCGGCATTTAAATTGCTCTTGCGTAGATGCGTTATGCATTGGACTCTGTCGTATATATGCATTTTGCACCGCGAAATAACTGACATAAGCAAAATGAAACTGGTTTATTTAACCCGCGCCCCGTAGGGAGGGGGCCGAAACGGCCCCCCTGTCCTTTTCCGTCAATATCTCCTAAACGGCTTGAGATATCGCCACCAAACTTTCAGGACCTCTCCGGGCATCAATTTTACACATTGGGACCAAAAAAAAATTTCAGAGCCTATGATAAGTTGGCCACAAATGACGTCAGAATGACGTCATGTTCTGCCATTTTCGACCGAAAAAGACCTTCGCGAGAAGAGCTGTCATGCCTACAGCTTTGAAGATGCAGAAAAATGATCAAGACATAAAAGGTGTAAAATTGACAGGGCTACAAAACTGCATCTCGGATTTTTGAAATTTTTGAATTTTAACCCCAAAAAATCAAAAATGCAATTTTATGGATATATTAGCCAAAAAATCCAAAAAGTTTTTTGAGTTTCGAAACAACCGGCATATATGTGATAGTACCTACCGTCTTCTATCTACATACCAAATTTCAGATCGATGTCTCGTTTTTTGGCCAAGCTATAGCGAAAAAAACTGTTCAAAAATGATGATGTCAAATTTTCAAACTTCAATTTTTGGCAATTATAGACCACGTAGGGTAAAACAAAGACCACCATTGGACTCCCCGTGACAAGTTGCATCGAATCGATACCCATTTTATGCAAAAATATCAACTTTGAAATTTGACCTAATACCCATGACCTGACCTTGACCTGACCTTCACCAAAACGTGACCTTAGCTGGCTCCAAAGGCTGCCTGACCCACATAATCGCATTTGTCATGTAAACTGAACCATAAAACATGTATCACACGACACTTTCATATTGTGACCCCCAGGTGACCCCCAGTGACCTGACCTCTGTGACCTGACCTGGTATCAGTGACCTCAGATAGCGAAGTATGTGTTTGACGAACAATGTACCATCGATGGTTTTCAAAAACTTACCAATTTACTCGATTTCACAACGCATTTCTTGAAATGCCTGTGAACGGTGAAAATCCGACCTTTGACCTGACCTGTGACGTCATCAGTTTGACCTAGGTCAATGAAATTTGGTTACAAGGTAGTTCCCGGGTGGGGCTATCGAACGCCGTTTGAATTTTGAAAATCGGCCGGTAAATTTCCGAGATCTTAGGGGGGGGGGGCGAAACGCCCCCCCCCCCCCTACGGGTGGTAGGGTCCGCCGGTAGTCCTACGGGGCGCGGGTTAACCAAATCGACCAACTACATAGATAACTTCTTCTGGGTAGACATTGCCCATTTATGCATCAGATTGCCAAACCGATCTGTTGACTGAGAATCAATTTTTATGACTTACCTACCTCTATAACATTTCTACGGCTATGGATTCTCAGGAACTCGGTTGAAATAAAAGCCAGTCACAGAATTGAACAATACGGGCAGTTAAATCAACAATAAAAGTGCTGCAATGCATCTGGGCAACTCTATGCAGTTGGCTCTGTCATGGTGCTCCACAGTTTGCGCTACGTTTCTACAGAGCTCTCGGCCTTCTGACTGGCAAACCTTTGTCTATTTTCTGAGAGCTGTAAATGTGCGCGGGGCTTTACCACACACCCCACGTATGTACTGCAGCGGTGCGGTGGGCGGCGGCGGCGATTTGGAACGCCGTCGGCACCTCGCTCCGTCTGATGAGGCACGGCCGACGCTGGCGCAGTGGGTGGACGGACCTGCTGTCGACCCCGACGGGCCCGCGCCAAACGACCACCCGCCGAGTGAGACGGGAGCGCTCAAACGGCGCTAATCACCGAAATTAGATAACTCGGCCAATTAAATAGAGACGCGCTGTGGGTAGCGGGAACCACAATGAGATGAAAAGACCTTAGGCGCGCCCGTCTGTCGGGCCGTTCTGCGGGTCTGTCTGTCTGTCTGTCTGTCTGCGTATCTGTCTGTCTGTCTGTGTGTCTGTCGGCCTTTCAGGCCTTTCGGTCTTTCGATCTGTCGGTCTGTCGGTCATTCGGTCTGTCCGTCGGTCTGTCGGTCTATCTGTGTGTTTCTAGCTCCCGGTAAGTACAAAGCTGGACAGTGGGCACCTTGAGGCTTCACACACGCCACTTGAAATAAATGGGCCAGAATTTATGACCGTTGAGCTGCGGACCTTCATTACTCAGCCTTGTCAAAGACCTGCCATTGGGCGGCATGGTAACTGAATCCCATCGCAGGACTAGCCGTTTCCTCATGGCTCAAGCCATGCGAGCGGAACATAACTGAGACCTTATACCAACTGCCCCGTATTTTTGTAAGACATCACTTGATGCTCGGGACATAATGTGGTAACATATCGGTGCATAGGATGCGCTGCTGTACGATGAATATTGAAGCACTGGATTATCCGTTATCTATTATAAGGTGTCTAACTACTCACACCAATTAGGAAGCCTTCCCGGTGCTGAAAAGGCAAACGGAAAAAGCGATCAAAGGTTAATTTGAAGGCGCTGTTAAATGCTACCTAACAACATCAAGCTCAATGCAACTTATTTATATCAATCTCGATGTGTTAGTTCCGCAATACACATGATGCTTGCAACCGCACATCAGTCAATGGAAGTAAGAACTTCCTAGAATGAGGTCGGTGAGAGCGGCTGAGAGCCGTTCGGTTAGGGGTCTGTTTGGAACGTCAGCGGGGATCATTGCATCTGAAATGATTGTAAAGGTATATGAATCCGACCTTACTACCCTACAAACCGTGTTGCTGCAATGCTGGTTCCTAAAATAGGCATCAATCTCAGTTGGGAGCAACGGTATCAAATCATCTTTCGTTTACATATTCCTGTTGAATTACACCAAACCTTGCACCTGTTCTATATAAGTCACCAAAGTTTTAAATCATAAAATGAAAGTGCAAGTTTCGGGGAGTAAAACTTGCCCATGACGCGGCCGTGCAATCTTAGAAGTAGTGCGGGTCAAGGTGGACAGGTTGCGGGGAACAGACAGGGCTCCTGAGACCGATATGTCTCCGCGCATAGGCCGGATGTGTCTCAGAGACGGACGAGACATGTCTTAGCAGACAGCTCTCTCGTTACCGGTGTGGCTCAGCAGACAGGAACTCTGTCTTAGGAGACAAGTCTCTGTGTCTACGAAGGCAGGTTGTTATGTCTCTGCAGCCACAGCTAATGTATCTCTGCAGACACAAATGACTATCCTTGCAGGCAGTTGCTGTGTGTCTTTGCAGACAGTCTGCCATCAGCGCGGTGTGTCTCACCAGACAGTACGACAGGTGCAGCATGCCACTTCAGACAGGCGCGATGTATCTTTGCAGACAGTTACCGTGTGTCTGGAACCATTTGTTGTCGGCCGGAGCGCAGCAGTCAGCGCCCAGCACCATTTCCAGCTGCCGTGAAAATGGTGGCGGCCACGGCCGTATATTGGTGCCGCCGAGACTGTCCCGCAGAGCGTCGGAGAACGACCGAAGAACGGCTGGCGCCGGCACCGGCAGAACCGAGTGAAGAGAATCACTGCTGTGCTTGTCTGATGTGTCTAATGACAGCTATCTGTTATTGATCGATTAATTGTAAACGACTTGTCTGTTGTATGTACATACCTAACTTGTACGTGTTAGGTATCCATTGTTTTTTTTTGCGCCGGTGAAGCACCCAGGGAGGCACGCATGCTGTACTGATGAGTGATCTGATGTGTCAACTGTCCATTGATGTGTCTTGTGTTGGTCATGTGTGTATTGACCAGTCTAAGGTGCTGATCAGTTGTTCAATGGCGTGGTTGCTGTGCTGGTCGCGTACCAGTGACATGTATCATGTGCATTGACTGACGTTGCTGGTCATTTGTTCAGTAACTTGAATACCTAGGCACTGAGCTGATCCAGTAACATTGACTTTTTCAGACGACAAATACCACATGCTGCCGTCTGGGGAGCTGCTGGTGCGTGACGTCACCAGTGATGACGTCACCGACCGATTTCTGTGTCGCACGGTGCATCTGCTGACGGACCAGCACGTCACCAGCGAGCCGTCAGCCAGGGTCGTCATCCGAGGTGAGTTGGTGCGACCGTCACCGGCCGTCATCGACCGTCATCGGCTGTCTTCCGGTCATTAAACACCATCCCATCATTAAGTCGTCAGTGTGCCGTGTGATGAGACGAATCCACCGATAATGTCGGAATTTAATGCATCATATCGATACATTTTCATTAAATTGTAACATTTGAGGTGGAAGCCTTTGATGCTGTAAAATTAAAGCAGAGGGCAGCAGGGTTGTATACCAATCAAGTCGATTGAATTGAATAATTTGTTTCAACGCGTATTTTGAGTTGATTGGATTGAGTCGATTGACTTTTCGAGATGACTGGTTGACTGACTCGTTTGACTTTAGCGACTGGTTGACTGATTTGATTCCCGAAAATTAGAGTGACTCGTATGATTGAGTCGATTGAATGGAAAGTTCAAATAAGTTTTAGTTGACAAAAAATAATGACACCAATTGATGACATCAAAGATCACAAAACTACACTGAAAACTGCTTGTCATCACAACTGCAATATGGGGTAGATGGCCAAATAAAAAAGAGGGCCTAAACATGAACAGCCAACTTTGACTTTCAACTGCAATAACTCATAACTGCTCCAATCCTGATGATAGAACCTGGCGATGCACCTACCTACCTTTCTGCACTCAGCAGGAAACGTTTTTTTTTTTTAATCCAGATGATAAAGTGCAAGGCCCTATATACTAATAAAGTGTGATTAATTAATAATTCACATCTCCACATCTCCTCAGAAACTACCCACTGAACTCTACAAATATCTGAAACCCCTACAAAAATAACTGAAACAAAAGCGCCGTTTTCGTCTCGCTAATTACGTTTACTTACCTAATTAATAGCTAATTTGCTGCATTGTTTAATTTGTAGCAGAACGTTTGTTGATCCTTTTCTCCTGAGAGACTAAGCATGACATATTTAACATATTTCATTTTCCCTAAAATATTTTACCGAATATTATTAAAGGGACCCTCCCACCTTCAAAAAAGTTAATGAATTGGCATAAAAGTGATGTAGCGTGAATCACAAAGAGCGAAAATGAACATCTACCAAATTTTACCGGAAAATATTCACCCGTTTTCGAGATATAAGACTTTTATTTTTGTTTACTTTTTGGGAAATCCGCTGTTTCTATGACGTCACATAAAGGTTTTCTTTACGTCGGCATTTGGAAGCAATAGTTTGGTATCAAAGTGCGACAAATATTGCGCGAATGATGCGTTTATCTTATCAAGGTCAATATATGATGGCCAATAAAGGATTCCAGGACAATTCTTATGGCATTTCTTCGTATCGCAATTCTTCGTCTGCAAATCTTCGTCAGGGCATTTATTCGTACCTATCGCATTACTTTGTCTCGCACCAGGGTATATGAAAATCGGCTCGCATTTCTTCTTCAACGCAAATATATGCAAGAGTAAGCATTGAGGGACAAATAAATGCACCGACGAAGATTTGTAGACGAAGAAATGCGGACGAAAAATTGTGCTACGAAGAAATGTCATGCGAGGATTCGTTCGGGTACCATGACATTTATGTGATTTCAAATTGATTTCAATTTTCAAAGTCAAGGTTCACAGCTGATCTGCTAAATCAAGCCAAGAATCCAAACTATCAAAAAACTATAAATATTTGTTTGTCTGTCACAGAGGTCTCAAGCAATATAAGGTTGACATATGTTGAATCAAAAATCTACTGCCACAACTCACATCTCCTGCCTTAGTTTATCATTGTTGTTTTAACTTGCTTTCAAGAGAAACAGAAGCCAGTATCTGATATCACTTCAGATGATTGTTTCAAGATCTGAGTTCAAATGGAAATAAAAGCAAGATCAAGATGAAACAGGGATTATTGCTGTTAAAGTAGTTTGGCCATGATACAACAAGCACATAAATCATTAGCCAAATCAAATACTGGTTGGTTTGTCAAGATGTTTGTTGTCTGTCGTCTGTCGAGCTGCTATGAACACTGAACGCTCTCACTCTTAGGTACTTTAAAGAGAGTAGTTTAAGTTGAATGGTAGTGAGCTGTAATTAGACAAAGCAGCTATTCAGTGCTCACATCAAGCCAGGATAGGAAGTGGCATCAACTGTGGTGGGAGGAAGCAGGTTCGGCAGCCCTATGTTGTAAACTTCTGTTATGTCTTGTGTTTGATCAACTGATGTTTCCTGCTCTGTTTTGTGCAGTGATAGTAGCAGGTAACTGCATGCTTGTCAAATTATGTGAATAAACGAATTCATAACATTGCATTTTTCTCTCCATGCAAGGAACAAGTAAGATGTTGTAGAAAATGTAATAGAGGGCTGCATTGCTGATTTTGCACTTTATCAGAGCTTTATTTAGAATTGCTTTCCTGAAAGCTACACACAGGCCACAGTGCTGAAATTCACAATGTCATAGCTTTTGGCAGAAAAAAGAAAAGACTTACCTAGGTAAAATTGGCTGAAAGTATGGCAGAGCAGGTCTTGATGCGTATGCCCATCAGTGTGCTTGCCGAAGCCGAACTGACTGCAACACATTTAACTCTGACCCACCATGGTGGCTGGCATATCCTGAACTTTCACCACTCTAAACAAGACAACTTTCAGCCCTCAGCATTGTATTAAAACACTGTACAAAACACTCAAAATTTGTTTCAGTGCCATCCACGGACAACATCAGTCGCCATTCACCAGGCCAGTAAAAACAGAATAGATAATAGCTATTAGCTTCAAACCCATGTAGTCAGAGTTACTAGGTCTGCACCTCAAAACAAAATCCAGGTGACATTCACCACGCCAATAAAAAACAGGTACTTACATAGGTAACGTAACAGCTTCAAATCTGGTAACATGTTGGTCGGACTTTACACTACCATATTTACATGGAATAATATGATACCAAACAATAGTGCAACCATTCTGGACAACAAAAGTGTATGATAAAATTAATTTAGAATACTCTGGCAGCATGATTTACGAGCACAGGCAGGTGTTACCTACCAGCCTTCTCAATGCTCGTAAAACCAACATTGTAGTTTTGCTTTTACCTTACATGATAACACACTTGGCTGCAATGGCACATTTAATTTAATACTGTGAAAAGACCAGTTATAACCACTTCACAAGCACAATTGCACCTCATGCCGACATCCTTTTCCAAAGACAGTCAGCAGCGTCTTTCGTCAAAACTGGAAGATAAATCCCCTTTCAACTGTTAACATCAAAAATATTTCTTCATGGTGTGACTGATCTCCATATGGAAACCTTGCAGGAAAAGAATTAATGTCAATTGTCAGCTCTTCAAATTTCTTTGGACTTTAACTTGCAGTACCATATCCAGTTTGCTTTGATATTTTGTTTTTTATTCCATGTTGAAGTTGAACACCAAGCTCCAGATATAGCAGGCAGCTTGATCATCTTCGGCCTTGGTATAATATCAGTCCAAGTTCCAGTGGTGGGTATCTTCTAATATTCAAATTAAAATGAAAAGCAATAGGCTTTCTCAGCGCCGACGACGGATTTCACGTTGATAAAAAAGGGAGCTCAAGGTCAGCAAAACTCGGGTTCAAGGAATGGCGGGCGTTGAAATGACTGCTGACGTCATCAAAAAACCGCTAATGGTTAAGAGATAGGGACTAAGCTGGTCCCACCCTGCAAGTAAAGGGAAGAAATTTCTTGAACACCATAAAGCTGCGGGGGTTGCGACCATGATAAATGGTGGTTTCTGAGCCTGGCCGCAAACTTGGCTATCTCAACTCAAAACTAATGTTAAGGTGGGATGGTCCCTTTAAGTGGTTTTATTTCAAATGAAATAATAATTAAAACGAAATTGGTGTTGTACAACTGATTTATTTTATGATGATCTACCATACTGCATGATATTCAATGACGTCATCTCACCAAAAAATCAAAAGACGTAGAATAAGGATTTATAAAAGCTTAGCATACCTATTGGCAAAACGTTTTCTTTGCAGTCGCACCGTGCCGTTTTCGCGTTTTAATTTTCCTTGTTCCTTCTTCCTTTGTCCTTAACTTATCCTGTGGTTCCAGAGTACCTGTCCTCTCCATTTCCTTTTAAATATATTTTTAATCCTCATCCTTATCCCCCAGTCCTAACAGTTTCAAATTCTATTGCAATAAAATGTTTTGAATTCTTCACATAGGTACCTAACATTGACATGCCACGTCCAGAGTCGTGGACCGCTTAACCCGCGACCGCCTGGGGGGGGGGGGTCGGATCCGACCCCCCTCCGTTTTTCTTGAATAACTCATGAACCGCTTGCGTTATCAACTTGAAACTTGGCATACCTTCTCCCCCATCAATTTGACGTCTCATGTGCAATTTTTAAGAAAAATTTTCAAAACATTTTGAGATATATCGATTTTAGTGATGTAACTACATGGCGTTTTCGGTCAAAAAGTGGTAAATGTTTAAAAAATCGCCAATAATCGAGGTTTTAAGCAAATTGCAAATTAAGGACATGAAAAGACGCAGCTCAAGGAGTTCTTTAAGATGGCTATCTCGGATTTTCCATAAAATGCGTTTTTCGCCCCTAAAAATTCAAAAAACTATATTTTTTGGAAAACAGCTAAGAAAATCCAAAATTTTGAGAATTTCCAAAAAACCGGAATATATGTTATAGAGCTCTATTAGAACATTAGATGTCCCAAATTTCAACTTTCTATCTCGATTTTTTACCCCCAAATTGTAAAAAATAGCTTCAACATGCATAGGGCATGGTGACGTCATAAGCATTTTCGCGAATTAGAGGCACTTCTGAACATCGTGTGTGAAAACAAATGGCACCACTATTAACTATATTCCTGGGACAAAGCTCGTCTAGAAAAGTGCATTTTTATGTCAAAAATAAAAAGTTGAAAAATTGACTTTTTTCTTAGCCCTCGTTTAGTTATGTATGGTATAAACGATTTTTTATGCTTTCAATGCACACTTATCACCAGCACAGTGACTTGGGGTCACATATAACCATTACCATCGGATTTGGCGTGAAAAATAAGCCATAAAACATGTGTCGCACGCCCATGTAGCAGAAAGTGAAAACCGTGACCTTTCGTGACCTGACCTGACCTTGACCCGTACTTAGTATGACCCCTATACGCACATGGTACCTTCACTAGGTCTCTGAGGTCATTTGTGGTGAGTTTCGAGCAGCAGCTATTCCGCTGTCCGTAAGCCTAATCATGCAAAACCCCAGCATTTGACCTTTGACCTGACCTTGACCCGAAAGTTGACCTCAATCTGAAAATCTTAAGAGTGCTTTGGGAAGGTCTCGTAGAGACCTTTCGAAAGCTGCCTCGCGGGGCTCGATACGACCATTGGTTCTCGAGATAACAGGGGGGGGGGGGGTCGGATCCGACCCCCCCCCAGGCTGTCGTGGGTACGGAAATAGCCCAGGCGGTGCCGGGTTAATACTTCAAATCTCTTCCTTCCCAATCTGACAACATCCCACGTCTCAAATGCACATTGTGTGGAAAGATTTTTCAGGCTGCCCGTCAGTCTCCATGTCTAACCGAAACCGTCACATGCAGGTAAGATATTTATTTCTGTTTCCCTATGGTTAACCCGCGCGGGGCTGGGGTCTCCAGCCGAACGCGCGGGGCTGGGGGGGGGGGGTAAATTTTACCCCCCCTGTTATCTCCCGAACTAATGGTCCGATTTGGAAAATTCAAACGCCAATCGAAAGCTCTCATCACGAACTACTAAAAACATGTACTTAATTTAAAGTTTGAGGTCAAGGTCAAGGTCAGGTCAAGGGTACAAATTGCAAGTTTCTACAGTATCGGCCTTGCACCGTAGTTGCCGAAGAATGGAGTCATGGACTGAGACTGATCGCCCAAAACGTGTTCTTAGGCTACCAAGACAATATTCGTTGCATACAATATCATTCAGAGGTCAAGGTCAAGGTCAGGTCAGGTCAGGTCAGGTCACCAAAAAACAAAATATAGAAAAGGGCATGTGTGACACATGTTTTATGGGTCATTATACTCATAGAATTCAATAGGCACACTCAATAAGTGATATGGACCACCTCTGGATGAATTTCAGGTCGAGGTCAGGTCAAGGTTAGGTCAAGTGAGGTCAAATTTTGAAAGTGGTTGTTAAGGCCTAAAAAGGTGTCTAGCTGATGCAGTTTTTCACGGCGAATCGAATGGTGCTATTTTTGTTTCCGTACGAGGTCTAGAACTTCCAAAAATGTCATTTTTCAAAAAAAATTGTGTGTCGTGACGTCATAAAATTTTGAATAACTCCCACATTTTTGAACCGATTCTTCTAAAATTTGGTATGTAGGTGCACATAGACCACTTCTCTGACATATATTCCGGTTTTTTCGATAGACTCAATATTTTGGATTTTATAATGATTTTCCCAAAAAAGTCAGTTTTTTGAAAAAAATTTAGGCCAAAATCCAAAATTTTCAAAAAACCGAGATAGCCATTTGATAGACAAAGTGAAATTACGTATAACCTTTTTTGTTACGTCTTGATTCCTTTAAAAATGAAGATGTTAGCGGCGTTTGAACTTTTGCCGTTTTTGAGGCGAAAATGGCGAACATGACGTCACTAAAACGTCAATTTCTCAAAAATTTTCCGACGGATTTCGCTCAAATTTTCAGGGAACGTGTCAAATTGATGTAAGAAAAGGTACTGAAAGTTTGGCGGCGCTGCGCGCCGCCGTTTTTGAGATATCGCAAAAATTCGCGAGGGGGGGTAAAATTTACCCCCCCCCCCAGCCCCGCGCGGGTTAATATGTTATTGATGCATATTATCCATTAAAATAGACATGGTGTAGGGTAAATGGCCAAATCACGAACACTGCCAAAATCCGAGCAGCCAACTTTCAACTGCAATATCTGATATTTAGTGTAAATGGAGTTGGAATATGGCCAAAATTAAATTGACAACTTTTAGGTGAAAGGTGGTGATTTGGGCTAAGGGGCGAGTCAACTACTGGGTTATTTTGCACCCATTAAATGAAACTTCTGCTCCAATTCTACCCATTGAGCCTCAATATCATGATCCACCTGTCCATCACTAGGTATCCATCCTTATTACATAGAAACTTTGAATGGCATGGCAATTTATAATTTTAAATGACAATATTTTTTATGTTTCTTCTGTAGGTAGGAAGGTAGGTAGGTAGGCACACCAGACTGCTATGGACACTTTTCCAAGTTGGTGGGGCAAAAAACCTAATGTATGTCTTGGTTTGAGTCGTTTGATTGAGTTGATTGATTCCTTTCATTGTCGCGTTTGAGTCGATTGAATCAATTCCCGAAAACTGCTCTGACTTGATTGATTTGATTGGTTTCCCAAATTTGTCGTGATTGAATTGATTGCTATTGATTGAGTCCGATACAACCCTGGAGGGCAGTATAGTTAGCAGTGGTGATGATACCGGCCGGATACGTGTATGCGAGATCCACATATTGCTTCATATCTACATAAATTCTTTTTACTTTTAATCTATTGACAATTTAATCCACAGATTGCTGTTTATTTAAGACCTACAATATGAAACATTGTCTTGCATTCTGTACGTCTGATAGGCAACAGAAAACCCCAAGACTGTACTAGCACATCTTGGTCATCTATATTTCAAGAACATCAATTTCGCCACCTAGTCTAATGGGTAGCGCGCCCATGGGGAATGCTATGACAGAATAGGTAACCGCTGACCATTCTTTTCCTCAGAGCGGACGCCGTCACCGGGGGGCATCCTCCCAGTGATCGTGGCCTCGTCCTCGGCTCTGCACGTGCGGGCGGGAGACGACGCTGTCCTCTTCTGTGTGGCCCAGTCAGACGAACGCACCCCGCCCCGAGTCAGGTAGGTCCGGGCCGGGCCTCTGTTCTTCTGTGTCGCTCAAGTTGAGGAATCCTCAAGTAAGGTACGCAGTTACATCAATGTCTCAATGCTGAGTCCGTCCTAAATGCAACGTCATACGATGCAATGACTTTTCTTGCTCATTCGTTCCCAGTTACGCTAATTCCAGAAACTTTTCCGCATATAGGCTAATTTCCTTCACATACACACATTTCTAATCTGTTAGGTTAGGTGAAAATATCCTCACGCCTACATGCGAGATCTGCAAGTACAAAATTCAACAAAATATTCCTACCACGGTTATCATCGCAATCATATTTCACAGGTGCGCCTGCTAGCAATAACGCACAAATCTTAACATTTTACATCCAACGGCTCACCCTGAATTGCCGACCGTTCTTTAGTGCCGAATCGATCACCATCTGGCTCCCCGGCGTGCCCGTGGCTGTGTGTCTGGCTTGTAACGTTCTTCCTTGACGGAGCATCCTTTATCCGCTGCACGGCCTGTCTAATGCTTTTACGATAAGCTGGAAGTGATTTATGAACCTTTCCCTACTACAAAAATCTACAAAACAACGCTTAGGAGAACGGATTGTCTGCATCTGCATATTGTTCCTATAATGTTCAAATTTTCTCCACAAATTTTCTCTTATATAAAAAACAGTCTCAAAACTGAGCTTTTCAGAATTGAGTACTTAAACACTGCACAGCCATGACGATTCGTTACACACACCATTTTCTCGGAAAAATGACATGAGACAAAGTGTAATGTCTGTTGAGCTTACTTTGTGATCAATGAAGGATATGATTCACTTATTCAGAAGTCAGCAGTCAGCTCGGCAACGCGAGCCTTTGCTGGAATAATTTTGTCCCTAGAGAAATGAGATATGAAGGAGGCGGCGTAAATCTTCGCCAAAATTCATCTTGCGTTCTGACATAAGTTAGTGGAGATACCGTCGGGAGATCTCTGGCCAGCCGGCTTTTCAGGCAGAATCCCTCCGCATTCACTGCACCGGACGAAATCGCGGCACATTTTGCCGAGCCGGGAGCGAGTGGGTGTTGTGCTCTCACTCCGGCTGTAGGGTTCCATTCGGAGATGGTGTTGCTCATTGAGTTTGACTCAGGCTGGCAGGTCACGTACGGGTCACGTACGGACCGCCACTGAATAGTGGTCGTGATTCTGCTGTAGCTGCGACTGACGAAAGCACAATTGATTCGTTATATATGAGAGAAATGTATGCAGAGTTGCTGTACACGTACGCCTACCAGTGATGTTTAAAATCACATCGCACTAGCAGCAAATATATTTTTGTTTTACTTCTAGAATTAAAAGTAGGTATAAAATGAATATAGGTACTGAATTCTTCTAAATGTCTATTAAAATTCTATTTAGATTGTGACAAATAACAGTGCATTGAAGTCTCGCTCACCAACTGGTACCTATACAAGGGAGGTGCACTCACACTTCAACGCCTCCGTCATACCCTACACTGCGTTATTTCTTTCGACAGCTGGACTCGTGACGTGACTGGTCGGCCGGAGCCAGTGCCTGCGCCGGTGACCGGTCACGGTGACGTCACAGCCTCAGGTCACGTGCTCGCAATCCGCTCAGCAAGGCCGCGTCATGCCGGCTGGTATCACTGCAGGGCGGACGGTGGCAACGGTCACGTGACTGAAAAACTACGGCTCCATGTGCAGGTGGGTCTAATGATGCAGGAAGGGAGATAGAGAGGATGAGGGGAGAGAGAGGGTGAGAGAGAGGGAGGGAGAGAGAGGGGGAGAGAGAAAGGAGAGGAGGAAGAGATAAAGAAGGAGAGGGAGAGGGGAAGGGAGAGAGAGGGAGGAGGGGAGAAAAAGAGGCAGATAGACGGAAAGATATAACGGACAAACGAATGAGCGAGGCAAATGACCGAAGTACAGGTCTCGCGAGATTAAGCGGTAGGTTTTGCACTTTTACATTTCCGGTTATATCTCAGAAACTAATCGATCTACGATGAAGCCATTTTACACGATCATGGCCGGCTTGTTACCCAAGAAGTCGATCGCATCTTCAACACTTAAAAGCTTAAGACGACGAAGATATAGCCTGAAGTACACTAAATTTTCTAGGTGCAAAACCTACCGCTAAAACCCGCGAGCCGAGACCTGTACCTATGTCGGGAAAGACCGAGCTTATATGTAGATGCAAACAGTGGTCAGGTCAGTATTTACATATACATAGTGTCGGGCCGCACTGTGCGGTCACCTTGGCACTCTCCGGTCGGCCGGACTGCTCTGTAAAGGTCAGCACCGCCGCCGCCGCCGCCTGCCGCGCTCCCAGAGAGCTGACGTGACCCGGCCGACACGGCCCGACACGGCGGGCGGCCGCGGTGGCTGACCGAGCGAGCGGCATGCGGCGCCGACTGCCGAATTACGGCCGCCCTGCACCGTATAACTGAGTGGGCCAGATTGGATTTGGTGGCTCCGGCTGAGATGGAGCCACTGTGAATTTTACCAGAGAATGCAAAATATTCTGCGCGTGTGTAGTTTCGTTCGGTCAGATTTGACCCACTTGGGGGCAATTGAATGTGAAGTTCATAGGTACGGGTTGGGCAGGGCTAGGTATGCACTATGCAATGCATGCATGTATATTTTGAGGTGTTACATAAGTGCTTTATGTTTTGCTAACTTGACCGACCTGTTACGATTGGCCTTGGACACATGTGCTAGAAAGTCGCCTGGATTGCAAGAAGGAGGTGAATAACTTAGTTGCCAAGTCTCTGCATATTTCAGTCATTGCCGCCCGCAAATACCGGCTCACTGAACCATGCCAGGCTATCTTCGAATAGCAGGCTTTCCCGGTTCTGCGACACCTGAGCGAACGTCATTTCAGCGAACGACATTTGAGCGAAACATTTTCAGCGATTATCAATTTAAGCGATTGGCTTTTTCAGCGATTGTCAAGTCGGCGAATTCAATCACAGTGATTATCTACTTTAGCGAGGACCAGAATCAGCGAAACCAGATTGAGCGAATATATGGTGGTCAGTTTTTGGGAAAGTCAGAGAAGTTTGGCCACACCAACGTTAGATATGTGCCCATGGGCTGTGCTTTACTTTTTATTACGAGTATTTATCATGCTAATCCTCTTCTGTAATTTCATAAATTGCTGTAGCGCTTAGAGCATAGGTATAATATGTACCCAACATTGCTTGCGATTTCTCGTTACGTGTACGTTTCCTAAGCTGCCAGTCTTCCAGGAAATCTTGAGTTCCGCTTGTTCAAGATCGTGCGGTGCCATGAACCTAGAGCAGAGTAGCGTAACTTACAAGTTTAGCGTGAGAGTGCTCCATGCAGCTAGACCACGCTAGGCGCGAGAGCGGAATAACTTGGGTAATTTGTACACCGTGCCCCCATGATCCGATGTCTTTGTGTTTGGCAGGTAACGCCTACTGTCAGCGTCTCGCCTGAGCGCCTGACCGTCAATCGGGGAAGCTCATTCAGTCTGAGCTGCTGGGCGCCCCAGCCCTCACAGCTGCACTGGCTCAAAGACGGCGTACGGCTGAACCCGGGCCGGCTCCTCAGCATCACACACGGTAAGTGCTTTAACCCTCGCCGGACCTATTGGTTTTCTACATACGCGCCGGCCGAGGGGGGGGGGGCGGGTACGACCCCCCCCTCGCCGTTTCGCCCCTGGTGGAGCTAGCGCGTCGCGGAAAAAACGAGCGTGTGCGCCGTTACGAGACGCAGAGATTGGTACCCGATTTTAAGGTCCTAGGTCAACCGGTGACCTCTTAGGTCAGGTCAAGTGCCCCAAGGTACGGTTCAGTTTTTGGTGAATAACTTGCAAAAAACGGCCGCAGAGCGCCGATTTTGGCAGCATCGTGTTCGCCTCGCTCAGGCGCGTCGGATGATATACTTTTTGTCCGGGTCAGGTCAACTTGGGGTGTTGACCTCAGGTCAAGGTCACGTCAGCACCCCCAGGTCACGAAGTTGGTCGAAAGAGGTCATGTCGCATATCATTCGATTCGGCAGGCCTTCCTGAGTCCATTGGTGCCTTTCCCGACTCGCTAGCTCAATTTGATCAAGAGTTATTGACGAAAAACTAATTTGACCTTGATGACGTCATAAATGACGTCACGCAAGGTCAACATTGCAAAAGTGACGCATCTAACCTTGCAAGGAGTGCATCAAATCACGATTCTGTGTGCTTGAGATAGTTGGAGATCGTTCCCGGCGCCAGAATAGCAGTTTTCATTTTTCCCCATGGACTTATAATGGTGAGGTCACGAAAATGACCTGACCTCATATGACCTTTAGGAAAAATCCGAGATATACAAGTTGTGGGACTCATAATGGATACTAGATCCTGCAAGTTTCATTTCCCTGTGACATCTCCTCTGGCAGTGAGGGCGTTGCGAAGTTGCGACATCTGAAGACCGTGCAGAGGTTCACTTATGACGTCATAGGTCAGTGACCTGACCTGACCCAAAAATGCGGTTGGTGTCTAAAGATCCGGCTTGGATCAAAGGTCAGGTATGCCAAGTTTCAGCTCTCTATCGCTAGCGTGTTCGGAGCTATCGCGAAAAAAAACCTATGGGGGGGGGGCGGCACCCGCCCCCCCCCCCCTCGGCCGGCGAGGGTTAAGATTAAAAACTCATAGTAATTAGTAGCACATGCCAATGACGGTTAACTTTTGCGCACATTACTGACGCCTCGCCATCACTCGTGGTACGGTACTGACGACTTGCTTATATATTTACCAACATACAGCCAGCCTGGACAGTGTGGACACTGTCCTTGAGTCATGATGATGATGATTGGGTTTGATGGCGTGCCCAACCTCTGAGGGTTATATGACGGACGCCGAGTAAGCACTCTAAAAAGCACGTCAAGCATTTAAATATGAAACGCACAAACTATGATGACATGATAAACATACCTAAGGTATGATGCACATCCTCTTACAAAGCAGGAAGTAGTTCGGTGTTCACTGACGCAACATGATGCTGTTTAATGTCGGCTGATGACTGACTAACTTTCCTGGAAAGTTTGCGGAAGAAGCGAAATGATATTTTCCGGTGTGCTAATGCTTTCACACAGTGGATTCAAGAGTCAACAAACCGTCTGCTATGGCGCTGGTCCCGTGCCGTTACGTGAGAAACCAACACAAAGACCGAACTGCTCATTTTGTTCTCGAGGTTCAGTGATATCGACAGATTCCTAGCGCCTTCTAAATCCGGAGCTCCGGCTGATGCAAGACAGATTGATGTGATTTCGCCAGGAATCCGGGCTTATTTCGACAAATGGAAATGCGCTGATTGAAACAAGATCATCGATCATGTGCGGTGTTGTTATTTGCTCTAAAATAGTCTTCTGATGAAGAACAGTAACTCAATGTCAGAGAGACACACGAGACCTCCCCTCACTGCTCTCCTTTAGTCTTCCGGTGACCTTTCTGTTTTTTTTTTCTTCTCATCTTTCCTTATTCCTTATTGCTACCTTCACACTTCCTGGTGCTCTTCGTTCCTCATTCCCTCTCCTGACCCTCCTCCATCCCGCAGTCCGGCCCTCATCCTCTCCCTCTCTTTCTCTCTCTCTGTCTCTCTTTCTCTCTCTCTCTTTCTCTCTCTCTCTCTCTCTCTCTCTCTCTCTCTCTGTCTCTCTGTCTCTCTCTCTCTCTCTCTCTCTCTCTCTCTCTCTCTCTCTCTCTCTCTCTCTCTCTCTCTCTCTCTGTCTCTCTGTCTCTCTGTCTCTCTCTCTCTCTCTCTCTCTCTCTCTCTCTCTCTCTCTCTCTCTCTCTCTCTCTCTCTCTCTCTCTCTCTCTCTCTCTCTCTCTCTCTCTCTCGGTCCTGCGCCGTTTCTCCCCGGAGGCGGTGGGTCGGTAACGGTAGCGGATTAATTCAGGTCATCACTGGTGGCACGTTGATTAGGTCTGGCCGAGGTCGCGCCGAAATGGCTCTGTTACACGCAGACCAGCCACCGCGACACGTGGGAAATAGCACAGCCGGCGCTCTGCGTAACGGCGGACATGGATCCCGACACCGATAGCTCAAGGGACCGGGCACTCGGGGCGGGGGACACACACGACTGCTGTGTGCTGCCAGAAATGGATACCAATGGAGGATCCCGCCAGCAATCTGCCACATTTGGAACGAATGTAACATTTTTTTATGTAATGATGTAGCGAATGCCTATCGCAGAACGACAATCAGCCTTGACAATAAATAGAAGCGGAAATGTGGTCTGGCTAGACGCCCGTGTGATGCAATCAAAGCAATGCATCAATAATAAAAACCGGCCTGGAACTTACATTGCCTGAATAATAAGCTGAAATTGGGTCAATTCCATTACTGATTCTGCATGCTGCCTAGATTCCTAGCGATGCAAAAAAGAACCGGTAAGCATTTACGTGACATCTAGCCGTACCCTTCAAACGGCTACAATATGTAAGCTTGGCGAATTTGTTAACTTCATAACATAGCATGACCTGACCTGACTAGTGACCTGACCTGTCGGTGGCAGATTCGACCGATGACCGCGTGCTCTCGCGGCTGGAGGGCAGTGAGATGCGGCTGGTGGCTCAGGGGATGTATCAGTGCATGGCGTCCGATCAGCTGGACTCGGCCCAGGCCGCTGCCCAGGTGCTGCTCGGAGGTGAGGAGCGACCGGGGCGGGGGGCTTGACAAAAAAGTTAATATTTTTCATAATTAAGTAACTATTTTAGCAACTCTTTAATGCTCTGTAATACCGGTATTGCAGCGTATGTAGAGTTTGCAATCATCCAACGCAAAAAGTAATCAAATGCACACTGCACAGTTGATCCTCTTATTTTGTTCCAATGTAAATGTAACTAATGTTTACAAATGTAACTATTGCGTTGTCTTCACCCATCCATTCAGAACACCATCAAAATAACAAACTCTATTGTAGCGCGCTGTTTGATGGCGGCATCGACTCTCTGTCGGTTGTATTTATAGCGGCGTCACTCGCCCACTGTGTCTGTCCGTGCTGCAGACTCTCAGCCGGTGCTGGTGGAACGGTTCATCAACCACACAGTGCAGCCGCACTCGGCCGTGTCTCTGCGGTGTGTGGCCAACGCCTCGCCCACGCCGCAGATCACCTGGCTGCTGGACGGTTACCCGCTGACTGCGGATCACAGGTGAGACTGATAGAGCAGATCACATGTCAAGCTAATAACTAGTGACTGCCGATGACAGGTCAGACTCCGCTGACGGCAGAGCACATGGGTGAGACTGGTATCCGCTGACGGCAGAGAACGGGCTATGGAAGGATAGGATAATGATAATCTGGTGTCGGTGATCACAATTGGTATCATCTGATGGTGGATCACAGGTCAAACTGCTACCCGCTGGCAGCCGATGACAGGTCAGACTGATACGGCCGATGACAGGTCAGGTAAGGACAGGATAACGATAACCTGATGTCGGTGATCACAGGTCAGACTGCTTCCCACCGACTCCTGAATACTGCGCAGTTCGCAGGCAGGTGAAGGGTGGAATGATATGTGGAATGCTTTATTTTTTAAATGAAATTGTTTGCTTCTAGACGGTGCCTTTAGATCCGTCTGCGATTCAGCTGATTTCGTTGTCGTAATTGATACACAGTTCTTCCAGCATAAGTGCCTATTGCAGTATGCAATGAAATAAAAGTATTGATGCTCCCTGTCACTGAAGCCCATTAGAGGTACACTTTCCAGGCCAGGTAGGCCAAACGTATCGGATTGCGGGTATTGATTCCCGGGCCTACTCATTAGAGATAGCCCTGCCCTTTTCACATGCAGCTTGGTTAGGTACTTATTGTGGTTCATCCTTGTCCCGTGACGCCTCTTAGAAGTTAGAACATAAATAGACATGGCAACTATAAGCTGACATATGGCACTGCCTGCACTCCGCAGTTCTGGTAGTTGCACGTCTCTCGACCAAAAACGATAGACATTTTTTTGCTTCTCGACATTCAAAGAAGGGCAAGATATATCCGACACTAATGCATTGCATTAGGCATTGTTTTCCAAGCCGTCTATCGAGAAGCGACTCGATGAAAAAGTAAAGAGGCAATTCAATGTCACTTACTCCGTTAAACCTACAGCCAAACTTGACCTCCCTCAGACGGCTGATTGGTCAATACGTCAGCGTCAACAATGACGTCATCAGTCACGTGAACGTGAGTGGTGTGCTGCCGGCGGACGGTGGCTGGGTCACGTGCCGGGCGTCCAACCGGTTCGGCAGTGCCACCCACACGGCCCGACTGAATGTCTACGGTGAGTGGTCGGATCACTGATGACAACTACCTATTCACTGTAACCCTTGAACGCAAATCTGAACGCGGCATCAAGCCTATGCACATGTAGGCATACCGCTGAGAGAAAAAAGAGAGAATCTAAGTGTTCAACAAATTTGGAGATATGCTCTGTATAGATATTCTGTAGAATGTGGATGCTCTTTATATTTTTACTGAGTACGGATGTGGCTGCCGGGATTCGATAAGTTGGAAGGTTATCTCAGTGTCTTTTGGTAATTAAGCACGTTTTTGTGATGATCGGACGTTGTTTCGGCAGGGGATCCCCACGTCAGGGAGATGCCCGAGGTACTGGCCGTGGCCGGAGAGCCGCTGCTGCTGACGTGTTCGGTCGGAGGGTACCCGATTCTGGAGATCACCTGGAGCAGAGGTCAGTCCATGCTGCTGCGACGAACGTCGGCAGTGAGAACGGCTTACGGCAAAGGATCATAGGCTGTCTAAATTCTAAAACTCGTAGTGGAGGACTGTAGCTGATTAAACGTAAGTTGGCCGGTTATTACCATTAAAGGGACTATCCCACCTTCTAAAATGTTGTTAAAACCAGTTAAATTGTGCCCGACTTTATAGATTGGATGACCAGGAACACGGTTCTGGCATTTATTTTTCATTAAAGGTAGTGTGCCACCTTTGAAAGATTTCCCATTTTATTTTTCCTAGAATAAGAAGCTTCTGTTTTCACCTAATATCGCAAAAAAAATCAAAAATGGGCCTGGAATAGTGCCTTTTTCGCCTAAAAGTTTTTCGGTTTTTAGATATGTATAACAACTGTAGTGGGCTCACCTGCAAACAGGCGTCGGGCAACAATCGCGAATGCGGCGCACTTGTGACAATGAGCAAAGGTCATTATAGTGTTACGACCATACGACGTACGGGAATGAGTTATCAGCTGTCTAATCGTAGACAACACAATGTCGAGTCTTAAACTGTAAGCCCGTATTGGTATTGTTTCTTTTATTTGGCTGTCGAACATTATTTATGGTTTGAAATATGATTTTATGTAAAATAATTGATATGAAAAAGCCGTCTTATAAGTTATGACCCCATTTCACCACACGCAAGTGGCAGAAATGACAATGATCAGCTGACGCATTTTTCTTGGCCGAAGTCAGAGCGCGCGGCCCGACGCACCACGCGTATTTGGAAATTCCGACCTCGACGAGCATCAGAAGCCACCTAACAGGCGTGTTCGAAACCGCAGGAGATGATGATGAACGGGTTTATCGAAACTTGATTGGATGAGCATATCGGTAATAGCGATTTCAGTGTGTGCATTTATTGTTCATAGTGGTGTGAAATGTGGTTGGGGTACGACCGACAACCCGTCGGGGCGAATTTCGCACTGGGGTACTCAAAATTTGAAGAATTTAAGACGTTTCCATGAGTTTTGAAGGTATGGATAAGTTCTAAAAATCCGGTTCTCCTTATCTGGGCCCGTATTCACGTCGGAATTTTTCGTAAGATTTATCTTACGATCGCTCTTTGTCGTACGATAATTTGGTATTCACGTTGGCATCGCAAACAGTTAAGATTTATCTTACGATCAAAATTTTGGTCGTAGACATTTGTCGTACGATCGATCGTAAGTGCGATTCACGTCGGGACATCTTAACTCGAATCTTAAGATGATCGTAAGACCTTAATGATGAAGGTATTGGGAAGATACGACTACTCACTGAGCTGTCGTAAGACGTCACCTATGCTTATGAATTGTATATTTAGGTATTGAAATTGTTGTTTATGATTTTTTTTTTCTTGCGAGCGAGCACGAAAAAGAGCTTTCAATGTAACGGGAAAATATCAGTATGAGCGGTAGGTACAGCTCGGACCGGCCCGCCCTATTACGCTTTTGAGAAGCTTTTATCTCGGCCACCGCTGGGCCGATTGAACCACGGTCTTTTTTTGTTTGGTAGCCCCATCCCTCCTACCTCGTAATTGACTACTCTTGATGCACCTGGGTGATCGCCGTGTCATGTGGCTCTTGCGAAGCCAAGGGAGTCAACTCAGAACCCAAAGTCGTTCTGCTGAATTTACGTTTTTTGAGAGGATTATGTCTGAGTAAGCACAGGATCGATTTACTAGGAAATATCTTTGTAGGGTATATTCATCCATTCTGCCAAGGACACGACTTTTCTCGATGCATGTGGGTGACCATGGCTGCACGTGCCACGTGCATAATAAAGAAATGTCATGTTTGTAGCAATTACAATAACTATGTAATTATCGTGCCCATTGCGCTGAAACTTGGCATGCTGGTAGGCACTCATCGGGCAATGCATTTCCATGTGTCACGTTAGGGGTACTACTGCACGTGCGCACGTGCAGTGGTCGCTCCTAGTTCTCGGGAACGGCTGGACCAATTGCGCTCAAAATTGGCACACCGGTAGGGACCGCTTAGTAGCGTGCCGGGCAAAAGTCGTTTGGGACCCCGTTTGCACGTGCGCACGTGCAGGAGGCCGCTTCCATATATAGAGAACGGCGAGGCCGATTGCGCCCAAATTCGGTACACCTTTAGGAACCACTTAAGAGGGTGCCGAGCAAATGTCATTTGTGACTCCGGTTGCACGTGCGCGCGCGCAGCAGGCCGCTTCCGGATCTCGAGGACGGCTACGCCGATTGCGATTAAATTTGGTGCGCCTTTAGGAATCGCTCAGGAGGTTGTCGAGCAAAAGTCAATTGTGACCCTGTTCGCACTTCGCACGTGTGCACGCGCAATAGGCCGCATCCGGATCTCGAGAACGGCTGGGCCGATTGCGCTTAAATTTGGTACACCTTTAGGAATCGCTTAGGAGGGTGCCGAGCAAAAGTCAATTGTGACGCAATTGGCACGTGCGCACGCGCAAAATTGCACACGCGCTCAAATTTGGTGCACCGTTGGGGACCGACTAGTAGGGTGGTTCGTGCTTAAAAGGACCCTCCCTGCTCCACCTTCAAAAAAGTTAATGAATTGGCATACAAGTAGTGTTGCATGGTACCTAGAGAGTGAGCAAAAATGAATATCAACCAAATTTCATTGAAAAATATTAAAGGAAATAGTTCACTTTTAACATGGGGTTTTGAACTGGAATAGCAGTTTCGTAGCTTAAGCTGAGACTAGCACAAATCAGGAGCTTTTACGGCTCAACGATCACCCTAGACGAAGATCTTCCATTTCTCGTTCCGAGGAATGCGTGCCTTGCACAGGAATGCAGCCACGTCATCGTCAGCCAATCAGCATGCTGCTTACAGCCAATGCATACAGCCAATGTCGGGTCAAGGTCAGGTCAAACACCTGAAATCGGGCTTTCAGTAGCATGGACTTCAGGACTTCGCAATGGGCGCCTCTCGTCTTAAACTGTCAAAACGGTACACAATCCTTCATATAAGGCCTGGAGGATATAAGGATGAGGTCACCAAAGGTCAATGACCTTCAGGTGACCTTGACACCCACCCTAATGCATACCTAATGGTAGAATAATTTCCATAATAACTTTGAAGCATACTAAATCTGTGGTACCTTTATAATGTTAAGAATAGCTCACTAATAACTGTTTGAATATACATATTTCGTTTGCTGTATCATTTGACGGAGGATCCATTTTCTATGTCGTCCCGGAATATGCTGCTAAAAATCAAATCTTCGGAACTGCTACGACATCTTAAAGTTGGGTCGTAAGATGAATCCTAGGACTTTTGACATGAATACCAAATTATCTTAAGATTGTCAACGTGAATTAGAAGTATCCTAAATATCCAGACTGAGGCCTCTTGCACCAAAATCCTCTTGCACCAATGCTTGGATTATTTTGCATCGTATACCCAGTCCAAGGCTCAAATGTAACAATTTGCGTGCAAAATCTAGCAAGCACATGTAGGATTATGTATTGGGCTATTGCAAACAAATTTAACACCGTTAGATTAGCTTATTCTGAAACCGGTTTTTCGATTTTACCTAGCTAGGTAGTTTGGTGCAAGAGGCCTCTGATCGTACGATAAAAAGTTAAGATGGTCAACATGAATACCAAATCGGTCGTACGATGAAAACTGATCGTAAGATGTCGACGTGAATACGGGCCCTGGGCCATTAACTCCATACGGTCCAAGAAAGCTGGCACACTACCTTTAAACATCTTAGGCTTCCCATATTCCAAACACAAACTTTCAAGTATGTGACGTCACAGCCCAAAATTACCTCCTTCCCCAGGACACATTACTGTCATAAAGCTGATTCTTTTTACTCTGTAGGCACCACAACAAAGTTCAGACCAAGTGTTAAGCGATTTTTCAACGAACAAACCCATTTAAATGACTAAACGAGGTGACGTCACACTAACGGTCGCTCCATGTTGAAGATAGGGCCTTGTGCAAGGCCCATTTTCAAATGAAGGGAACGAATTTCTTCAACACCAAGAGGCCGCGGGGGTTGCAACCTAGATAGATAGTGGTTTCTGAACATCGCCGCAAACTTGGCTATCTCAACTCAAACCCCATGTTAAAGGTGGGATAGTCCCTTTAACCCGGGCGCAATTAGCTTTTCCAATCCAAATGCACAATCTCTATTTTCATTCTAAAGGCTGAGGCGTGCCCCTACGCCCATTCTTATTTCAGTCTCATTGTTTGCACCTTCGTGTTACCGCACAATGCCAACCCATCGATCTTTTTTCACCGCTTGTCAGCATCAATCACACTTAAACACATCCTTCAGTGGAACGGCGCATTCAAGGGTCCGTCATTACACAAAGCTCTTGACGGAGTCAACACGAACCTCTCTATTCAGTCAGACAGCACAATAGTCTTCATTTAGTCGACACGAATCTTTCCTCGCGAACGGCGCTCAGCTCTGGCGTTGGAGTACCTACACCGGATCAGATGTCGCCCGTTTCCTGGATATCAGATGTCGATCGTTTGCTCTCTGTGCATCCGGTATCAGTTGTCTCCTCGGACTCCTAGCGTGCTTCCAGCCGGGTAAGACGGAGATACATATAGACAGACAGACAGACAGACAGACAGACAGACAGACGGACGGACAGTCGGCGGCGCTGTGTGCGGATGATCACCGCGACGGAGTGGTGTCACATGACATGACAGATGACACCAGGCACCCGGCGTCCCGAGTCGGAAAAGAGGAGGAGGTCGGGTCCTGTTGAGGGAGTAAGATGACCCTACCGTTCGTGTCGCTGGGCTTGATCTACTCGCCACTGGAATGAGCATAGAGCTAAGAGCTGCAGCGGTGGGTGGACCACGCCGCGGTCAATTTCGGGCTGAAGATGACCGCCGACAAACGGGTGCCACAGCTTAGCCTTCCAGATAATTTGAAAGAACGCGACACAAGTGAGAAGACAGAGAGCAGCGAAAGAAAGAGGAAAAGGAGGATGCGTTGGCAAACACCAAATTAGTGGAGCATGTCGGTATAATGAAACTCAACCGGAAGCTGAGCGGCTGGAAAATCGAAGGACGTCTTTCAAGACATCTCATTTCCATTTACCAATCGACACTTTTTGCTGAAGGTAATTAAATGAAGTAACCAAAACATCTATTTACCTATTTGACAAGTGCAACCAGCGAATGCGGTGAATGTCTCGAGCAGCAGTCAAATCTGCATGTCCTATTCCCCTTTTTTCGTGCCTGTCCTGTTTTGTGTCCTCAATGCCATTCTTCTCTCCCCTCCCCAACTAACTATACTGCCGCCGTTTGTGCATATGTACCGGGTGGCCCAGAAAAAATGTTCCCAATTTTTAATCAATATTTCTCAGAAAGTGATAAAGAAACAACATTGAAACTTCCAATAGTCAATGTGGCATATATTTTCAGCAAATGGTATGATTTTTATGTTGTTCGGTCAATTACTTTTTAAACGGTTCGTGTTTCTAGCATGCCAAGTAAAAATCACTTTTTTGCTCAGATGTTTACTAAAAATGTGAGTGAACGGGCCACTTCCATCTCGGCACCACGGCCTGCAGCCATGACTGCTACTGGCAACTATAGCCTCATTGATGGCTCAGGCCTCAGAGTGACACATTCCCTCTAGCTTTTTTCCTTATTAGGTCGATTTACTATTTGATCTTGTTGAAGGGAGGGCGATCAGCAGTAGCCCATGCACCGTGCCGCTCCTTCTCTTCGAAACAGGCCTTGTGTTGAAACGAATGACATCCATTAACGCAATTTTGGCTTGGCATTTGAATATTTGGCACAGAAGTGGGAAAACAATATTAAAAATAACAGCACACGTGCTGGCATCATTCACGTGTTCTATTTTTCTATTTTTTTTTTCTAACATGGTACGTCTAAGCCAATCATTACTACCGTTCAACAACGGCAAAAAAAGCAAAAACGTCTTTCGTAATTCAACATAAGATTGCTGGCTTGAAAATGACGGTACGGTGTTATAATTTGGTATACCAATGCGCAAAGAAGTGACGCAAACTTGATGAAAATTTTGGCTCGTTATTTGCACTCGAAGTTGAGATATAGGCCTCCAAAGTTCGGCACGTTTTTTTTTTTTGGGCCACCCTACAGTCCCTGGCCTTTCATGTGTGTCTCTGGTTGTGGTAAGGAAACGCCTGCTGCCCACAGTCTCAGCTCCTCCATACATACGGCCACAAAGATAACCCATTACCCGTTACTTCTAACCGTACCCTTCACCCGTGATTGTGAATACGGCCACTCGGGAGGTAGGCGGCTGCCCACAGACTCAGCCTTTGTGTCTCTACCTGTCCCCAGGAGGTCGGCGTCTGCCGTCAGACCGTCAGCAGCACCTGTTCTCAAACGGCTCCCTTCTGCTGGAGCGCGTGGACCAGGATAGCGGTGGACAGTACACCTGTACCGGCCGAGGGCCCGGTGACGCCTCCTCCACCGGGCATCTCACCGTCACCGTCATCGGTGAGTGACGTCGTACCGACTATATGTGTCATCGTCGCTGGACACTGCTCACGGCTAGTGATGTCACATTTACCTGTCACTGTCATGCCATCGGAAAGGAATTTCATAGCTAGACTGGGTATGCGGATAGCAGTGCTCAGTCACCGTCTATGGTAAATAACGTCATTACCACAGGTTGCCAAACATGACCGTTAAGCCCAGGCTCCACTACGCGATTTTCCGTGCGATTTTGCGATAATGCAAGAATGCGATGCCCTTGGCGATGCCAGAAAATGTTCATTTATTGCAAACGGACGCGCTGTGTCACAGTGCGGAAATCGCATTATTAACCCGCGCTCTGCTGGGGGGGGGGGGGGTGTTTGAACACCCCCCTTGTGGTTTTTCGCGAATATCTCAAAAACGGCGGCGCTCCGCGCCGCCGTTTTTGGTATACCTTATCATACATCAATTCTACACATGTTGTGAAAATTTCAGACCAAGGTCATTCAAGGTCAGGTCACCAGGTCACTTGAAGTGACCTCACCTCATAAAAAGTTTCAATGTCTGTCATAGCTACACCGAGTGACCGATCGCTTTGGAACTTTCAGCGATTGCAATAGCATGTACAAAATTTATATCTCAGAATTTTGATATCGATGACCTAAGGTCAGATCAATTTTGCGACCTCCCCATTATAAGTCAATGGGAGAAAATTGAAATGCGCCTCTTTTGGACGAAAGACATAAGAAACACTCCTAAACACTGAATTACAAGTGGTTTAGACACACTGAACATGAAAATGGTGTCCGTGACCCCTGTTTATGCCCTGATGTCATCCTAGGTCACGAATGGTATCTAACAGTTTTTCGCAAATAACTTTTGATAGAGGCATGCTAGAGCGATGAAAACGCCTCAGATGTGTTCAGCTCGACGATACGGATCGACTGATATGCAACATGACCCTTTCCGGTCAGGTCATGACCTTGACCTGAGGCCAAATTTTCAAGTTGACCTTTCAAGGTCAAGTTATAGTTCATTCGATGCGTCTTGACGAGAGGAACACGATGCCGGTAAAAGTAAGCTCGTACAAGGCTTGGGTCAAAAGTTATTGCAGAAGACTTGTTTCCGAAAAAATCGGCTATTTTTGCAGTTTTTGCCCCCTGGAGGCAAAACCGTTGACGTTAGGTCAAATCTGAGAAAATTACTCAGAAAGGGCGTTAATAGGGCTATCGAATGCGCTTTTCCGCGGCGCTGTAGCTCTATTGGTTCCCGAGTTATGCGTTGGCTTCTTGAAAATTGTCGACATTCGACCTGGAAATCGGCGAAATTTTGCCTTCAATGACCTCTGGTGACCTGACCTTTGACCTGACCAAAAAATTGACCGAAGTGATTTCGTCATTATTTTTGACGCTCTTTCGAACGCCGCCTTCCGCGTATCGCTACGTGGCCCAGGAGCCGAGTTAGAAGGGAGGGGGTGTTCAAACACCCCCCCCCCCCCAGCAGGGCGTGGAAATCCAGGACCCCCAGCCGGGCGCGGGATAAATTTAAATGTCTCGTAATATCGCTCTCGCATTATAGCATTATTGCAAAGAAGTTCAGAATTCTGAACTTTTTTGCGATATCGCGATATCGCAACATCACAAAATCGGAAAATCCCACGGAAAATTCGCGTAGTGGAGCCTGGGCTTTATTGGTAGGACTGCAGGGCTGCGGAGTTGATGGATTTTAGGGTGACTCCGACTCCGACTCCGACTCCGGTTTCAAATATCGACTCCGACTCCGACTCCAACTCCGACTCCGACTCCGGACGGTTCTATGAATACCCATATCATGATATTGAAGTTCAGAATGGAGATATTTTTATCTTGCCTGAAACGATCCCATGTGCGTTCCAAAGGCTTTGCGTTGCAAATATGCATTAAAAATAACATGCAGATTTAAAAAGCAGGTTCTGGGTCATTCACCGTCTTCTGTTTCTTTCGCTGAAAATGTTCGTCCAAAACAGAAAAATGACCTATTATCGACAAAATCTAATTTCGAGTGCAGTATCGTCAATCAAACAGGTGCAGTGCATGACGTACAGTCACCAGCACTTGCTACCCATCACCCCCGGACGGCGGGGGAGCAAGCTACCACCGCCCTTGCGAGACTAGCGCCGCCATGCGCCAAGAGGTGGAAACACCACGTGACTGAGGCCACGTGAGGGCAGGGTCACGTGATGGAGGGGCGGAGCATAGCAGCTTTTGCGCCCGACACTAACTGAAATGCGGCGCTGTGATTGGGCGCTTTAGCATGAATGAAGCCCCGGCGCCAGAATCAGCCGTTCGCCTTAAATGGAAGGTAAGCCTGTGCGTTTCACTGTTCTGTGTTGGTTTGAGAGCCACGGCACCATACGAATTGTGAGCCCCTTTGAACGGGTCACCGCCCGAGGCACTGAGGCGACGGCTGTGCCGGGCAAAGCCTAAGGTGGGCCAGGGAAAGTGCGATCGAGCAGCCACACTGAGACGTGGATTGGTATTATCTAACCGCGACAAACGATGTCAGCAGCCTCTTCTCGTTGACACGAAAAGATTGACAGACAACGTGGGCAGTGCCCAATCAAAAGCTACTATTATGCATTTCAGACCCCATGAGACCCTAATTTTTGGCGATAATTTGTTCAATATTTGTCCAATTTGCTTCAAATTTTCACAATGCACATTTCAGCTCAAGCGCCAATTTTCGCCAATATGGTCTCTTAACAAAATATCAAATTTTAGGGTACTTGTCGTTGCCTCGTAATGTTAAAATCGGCTCCGTAAATCCGTCAGTGGAGTAGAGGCTATCCGTGCGTAGGTGTGACGTCACAAACACGTGACCATTAAGCTCCGCCCTCCCGGCGGACGGGGTAGTGACCTTGGCCGGTCAGTCGACTGCGTGGAGCGGGCGGGGCAGTAGCTGTCGCACCGGGGCGGCTCGCATGGACCGTAGCTGCCGTGCAGTTGGCGCTGCAGCCGTAATTTCATCGAATGAGCTAAATAGCGCGCATAAGTAACGCACCAGCTGAAGCCCTCGACTAATTGTATCTATCACAAATGTACGTACACCTTGTTCAGTCACAAAAAATTATATTTCCACACAAGATTCGGGGCTTGTGAAAAACGCGCATAAAAGACGCTGTTGATTTCAAATGATTGCGTAAGATTATGTACCTATCGCGTCAGACTACGTCAAAATTGCAAAACAGAATCACCATTAACATGATGCAATTTATGTGTTTGATATATGAAATTTGATTAGGAATGTATGCCGGCGTGATCGATTTATATCATCCCGGTGCAACTAAGCATTGAACACCTTCAGGACTAATCCATTTGATCATCGACTTAGGTTGAGGAGGTCGCCAGACTAACTTTGCCCCCAGAGCTTGTGTGTTGAAATGCAAACATGAAATGTAAAAGCCTAGAGATAGTTTACTCACCATTGAGGACATACCTACTGTTACTTAAGTTTTACAAAAAAGATACGAGTTTATTGATGATTGTTCTCGTGTAGTGCCCAATGTCCGCCTGCCACATTGCTATTTCTTTTTGTGCACGTCTTAACAATATAACACACACATGATACCGCGATAAAGGCCATTTCTACCATACGACACATTACGCTTCTGCCCCACCCGGCACCCCGCACCGCTTCACGAATCACGAATACGGTCGTCTCGCTGGAGCAATGCCCCAGGCAATCGGCCGTGCCCGAGACTCTTCATCCTACTATGTTGCTTTCTGCGCCTTCCTCAGAAACATTTATTGGCACTGCCAAATATATCAATATTTTTGGGTTAAGCACAGGCTTACACATGATCTTATAGGTAATCGGGTAGTGACCTGACCCAACCTGACGATGAGATAGGTGCAACTCCGGCTTAAATAAATGTTCAGAGTCCAAGAGTCTATCCCTCTTTCCTTCATAGGGCCGGTTCCGTTCCAATAGATCCTACCTTGATTTTGATCATTCTGAATATTCTGAGCTGGTTCGATGTTTAAATACCAAAATAAGGTGAAGAGGATACCAAATGCCCTCAAACAGATAATTTTTTTGGCTTTCGTCCCGAAACAACTTTGCCAGCTTCCACTTGTCTCCAGTATGTGGTCCCGCTCCGACCTCTCCGCGGTGCTGACACCGACTGAAGCGGCATAGACCCATCCCGGTCACGGCCAGTGGGCGGAGTTTAGTTGGGCCCGGCGCAACGTGATTGGCCAGCGCTCCTATCCAATCCGGTGCGGTAGCGAGCGAGCCTCTATCCGGGTGCAAAAACTGATTAGCATTACGAGCCAACGACAAGTGCTCTAAATTTTGATATTTTGTTAAGAGACCATATTGACAAAAATTGGCGCTTGAGCTGAAATATCGTTTGCCAAAATTTCAAGCTAATTGGACAAAAATTGAAGAAATTATCGCCGAAAAGTAGGGTCTCATGGGGTCTGAAATGCATAGTAAACGATTCAGTTAAGAAGTTGGCGAGATAACCAGACCCAATAAAAAGTTATTAATTCGATTTTGATTGACAAATGACATACAAGCCCGCTGTGATGGATCAAAAAAGGAGCTGAACAGTTCATACAACTTCTAAAAAGTCCAACGGTAAAAATTTAAAAGTCAAATGTTAAAATTCAGCCTGCATGTTTAAACTCGGGTCCGGCGCTGGCAGGAAGCTTATATTGCCAAGCTTGCAATTCCACTACGTTGTAATATAACCAAGAGTTATGTGAGAGCAACAACTGAAAGCCTCGAGCCCCGTTGGGGGGAGGGGGGCGCGAAACAGCCCCCTCTCCTTTTCAGTCGATATCTCCTTAAGTATAGCGTAGGTCGCCACCAAACTTTCAAGACCCCTCCGGGCATCATTTTACATCTTGTGACCAAATTTTTCCAGAGCTCTTATGAAAGGTTAGTCACAAATGACGTCAGAGTGACGTCATGTTCTGTCATTTTCGATCCCAGGGCGTATTTTAAGGGATTTTCACTGGGTCGGCAATCACAATTAG